CTATTCTCATCTACGAGATAGTGAGAGAGTCTACGAACCTTCCGACTTTTTTCATCTTTATTTGGCTCCTGTGGTCCCTTTACATGCCTCTTCCTCCTATTGAATCGGAATTGAATGGGTATTATCAGTTGGGACAAGATCGTTCGACATTCTACGTCACGAATGAGCATTCATGTATCCTTTACAATACCTAATTCTCCTATTTAAATGGGCAATGTAGAACATATTTTCCATAACGCAGATAGCTGCTTGATTGTATGAAATCATGATGAGCTCAGTTTATTGGTAAGTTCAAAGGAAAGGATGAGGTACATTCTTCTCATCAGCTTAAAGTACGTATGAACATGCACACTTCACCAAGTCTTTCCTCTTCTGGACTTCTCAGCAATGAAAAATACGTATTTTGCAATATGCTACTCCCATTAATTGTGGCGTCTGCAAAAGACCCATGCAGTGTTCTTGAATTTGGGTTTCTGGGCGAAATTTATTATTCCTGGACTGCTCTTGACTCAATGAAGTCAATAGGTACGGTAGGTATATTGTCATAGCATCTATAATACTATTTTCAATAGCAACCTTAAAATGTATGTAATCAGCTCGAAATGTCCAATTTCCATTTCGCACCTCCCCAAACTCGTGAAAGTATTCATATGAAGGAGCATGGAGACTATATTTCAAAGGCTTTCCCCATTCTTGGACTCTTCCTCCGCTGAAGGCAATGTGGGAGTTTTCCAATTCTTCGGGCATGACACATAATCGTTACATCACTATTTGATTACGATTTATCTGGTGAAACATTGCGACTCTTTACAATAGGATTCACCGAAAGATAGTCTTTAGGTCAGGCCTAGGCATACCATTTTTCTAAAAAAAAATCTCAACCATGGACTATCGAGCCGATTGCAGTAACGGTAAATCTCCCATAAAAGTCACCACGAGTCTGTAAAGAGCATTGTAACGAAGAACGAAAGGTGTTTTTATTTTTTTCACATTTGAGAGGCAAAATACTCAAAAAATTTTAACCCAGAAAATCTACATGAAAATATATATTGCTGCAAAAAATCTGCAACAGGAAAAAATCATCAAGATCACTGTCTTGAGTGAATTAGTATCTCCAGAAATTGAAAGTCTTGGATTTGGACATTGCTTTAGATGGCGCCATGTATGCATTTGGATCTCGGAGGCGCTCTGTTCACACACTTCGTTAGGATGATTCGAAGAACTCCACGTAAACCTTGGCGTTTTACTTTCGCAAAGGAATGGTTCATGAAACTGGAAAAATGCAAGTAATTACTCTAACGTAACACATCCTTTCAGAAATGGTTCATGGTATTGAGCCTGTTATTGGCCTTTTGTTATATGTCCTCACCAAGATGTAACCGAGATTGGTCCAATCGGCCCCCGAAGTCGAGGATTGAGTATCTTTTTAATGAAAAAGGCATTCCCAGGCCTGACCTGAGGACAATCCATAGGTTAGGTCCAGGCATATAGTCAATGAGTCCTGTAGAGAGGGGGTTGGAGAAAGTGGAATGCCATTGAAAAGTGGTTTTCGCAGCACTCCTGACAAATATATAATAACATTAAAATATGGCTAGCTAAATTAGTTTATCAGTTAATGCTGACCTATCCATGGATGTGCCTGCTTGTTTCTTTCTCGATTCCTCATCTTCCGTACTTCGTTTCCGTGCTTTCCCCGAATCTGAAACCAATAAATTGTAAATAGGCGAATGCGATTTTTCTCCAAGAATGAACGCCATCCAAATGAATCTCCTCCACATTGATATGAAAGGAAATACAAACTGTACAGGGAGAACCAAAAGTCCTATCCCTCTTTGCATCTGCTTTAACTCATGACCAAACGATTTTATACTGGAATTTAGATCATCCAATGTTTAAGAAAATTCCTGACATGAAAAGCCCCAAGAAGAAAATCACATTGAAGTTACATTCTTGCGATAAGTAAAACTCGCTCGATCGATGCTAAATGATTGTGATCATTAATGTCGCATGTCGTCACTAATTTAGGAGCGAATATAAATTTTCCAGAGCGTATCCTTTGTGCTTTTGATCACACTGGCTGCAAGGTCATGCAGCATCGCATTTTGAATTTGATGAATCCAATATGACCATATCTAGACTCTTCAGAGTATACACTATTTCTAATGCTTTTGTGAAGATGTTATTTGGCAAAAGCTGAAAATCTGGTTGTGCGTGACATATGATACGTCCTGTCAAAGAAGTCGCCTCATCCTTAAGTACCAGTACAAACGAATCTTCTGCGACTTCTTGAAGGTTGAGGATGAACGCTGGTTTTCACGTGTAACATGTGTCGCAACAATTGCCATTTTAATTATCATTGCTCTGTCTTTGCTTTCACAGGAAAATACTGTTGGCTCCTCTTTAGTTATACAGGATTCCAATCCATCACAATAGAACTCGGACCATAAATTGCATCAGTGCAATATCCTTTGACAGTGCAACTTTCGTAACGTGAGTCACAAGTGACATGAGTCACCTTCTGTTGATTTTCTTGTTCTGCACTGAATTGGTGTGTTAGAGAGTAAAAAATGCAATATAGTGCTGCTGAAAGGCAGAAACGAAAGATGAAATAAAGAAACAAGAAGGGAACAACAATGAATATATGATGAGAACAAGATCAGTCATCGAAGCAGTTCGAACTCCGCCCCACACGCTCCAAAAGTAGTATTGTGGTAGTAGTGGGCGCATTCAGTTGCGACCCGAACTATAACGCGAGTCACGGCACGAAACACTGAATGCATCTGGTGATGACGCAGGAACCTGACTCGAGTTATGTGCTATGACCCGATCTCTGAGATCGAGTCATTATCGTTGGGTCATCACTCCAAACATGGCGACATCCATGGAAGACTTCCAGCTGGGAGAGTACGTACACAGATTCGGGGAAACGTGCAAATGAAGTTGTGAATGATGCAAAAGGATGTCACGAAGGCTGTTCCTTTCTTTCACCTAGCTACTATGAATTGTAATTTCCCGAAATTGCTTTTAAGAAGTGCATAGGCCTTCTCAAATTTGCTTCGAGAAGATTCCATTTTGGTATGGAACATTTTTTATTGCTGGCTGAGGTGACGACTACCTTGAGTGGCACCACGATGCAATAAACAAGAGGGTGAGGTCAAACTCGGGGATTGTGAATATCCCGGAGAGGCAACTTGATCTTGAAGAGCATTCTGTACCTCTTCACAATTTTCTCATTTCAACTCCCTCTATTGTTGCTACTACACAGAAAAGCAGTTAAAATTCGCTGATTAAATGACCAAATGCATTCAGAAGGTTGCGTCAGATGTCAAAGTGGGCTATGCCCCGAGTCATGCCTCTCCCAGTTAGATCGAGTCGCAACTGAATGCGCCCAGTATGTATAGGGTGGCCAAAAAAGTATGCAACTCGACATTTGGCTATGAAATCCACATTTTTGAGCGAACGTTGCCCAATATATTCTTCAATATTTCTTTCTTAAATAATGTGTCTTTGACTTCCTATTCATCAGTTATGGCAGGTTTTGTTAAATAGTCTAAATTCTGCGCGAACAATCATGCCACTGCTGCTGCGAGGCACAAATCCACATTTGCATTCATTAAATGTATGCTCTAGCAATAAATTTTTAGGCGGTGAAATATACACTTTTGGTGACATCCTGTAAATTTTTCACTATGATCACTAACGAGCAGATTTTTATGCGCTAATAATTCCTAAAATATTCACATACATATACGCTTAAAAATGTCAAAATATGCATGAGATATGCACAAATATGGGAAAATATGAAAAAACATGTTTTTTTATAATGCAGTACTAATTTTCTGGAGAAGGAACTTCAATATACATTGCATGCCTGTATTGGGTATAGTTTATCCATCCATGTCACAGCCAGCGGCGAAGCCAGGAATTCGGCAGTGGAGGGCTAAGGGAAACGAACGGGGAATAGAATTTCCTAAACTTCTCGGGGGATGGGGGGGTGGAGGTGACGGATGAATTTAGAGCAGAGTTAGAAAGCTTCACCATCTCATCCCCCTTCCCTCCCCCCTCGCTACGCTGCTGGTCGGACTGCATAACAATTTTCATCAGTATCTTATGAAGAAAGCACTTTTTCCAGGAAAACCCTTATTTTTCCCATAAAAATGGGCGAAATATACATACGAGGTCTGATCAAAAAGTTCCAGTGCTTTTATTCGTAAAAATTATTTTTAATGAGTACATGAAAATTAATTTTTTCCCCTTCGAAGTATTCCCTTCTCGATGTTATGCATTTATCCCAACGCTCCTGCAACTTCTGGAAGCAGTGCTGGAAGTCGTGGAGTGTAAGACTCTTAAGCTGCCTCGTCGCATTATCGCTGCTTCCAATGTCTAAAATTTTTTTTCTTTCAGGTGAAATTTACTCTTCGGGATCAGGAAAAAGTCACACGGAGCCAGGCCCAGTGAATACGGAGGGTTGGGAAACGCAGGAATTTTTTTTTAGCCAATAACTTTCGAATTGTGAGAGCAGTATGAGCTGGAACATTGTCGTGATCCAAAATCATGCTTAATTTTGGAAAAGGTTGGGGCCGATTTCTCCTAATTTTTTCTCATAGACGGGTCAAAACAGCTTTGCTGTAAGCTTGGTTAACTGTCCGGCATTGTGGGACAAACGCAAAATGCATCAGGATCACGATGCATGATACGACGAATCGACGAAGAGCACAGAGACGACCGCATTTCAACATTCGTGATTCGCGACTGGTTAATCCTAGCGCAAAGGAGGTTTCAAAATGCGTGCGGTTACCCTCCCACTCTCACCTACACCAGTCCTAGCCCCTACCTAAAGCGGATTATTTTGTAACAAGAAAGTACTGAAACTTTTTGATCGGACCTCGTACATAAGCTCACCTATACAGAAATATGCTCATGCTGAGAAAAGCGTGAAAAAATGCATTTTTATGCGTTTTTAAATGGCATAAATGTCTTCCTCTACCCAGGAGACATGGTCATATCTGGGTTGCGTGCTCATAGGAGGCTGCAGAAAAAATATGCATTTGCATTTAAAAAAATCCGCTCTCTAATGATCACTCGGGAAGAGGTTTTAAATGCAAAATTCAAATGTGGATCCGTACATCGCAATGGCACAAGCAATCCTTTTTGCTCGGCATTTTATTCAGTTGAACAGAATCTCCCATTACTTAAGAATGAAAAATTTGAGCCAAATGACATTTTAAGACATTTTGAAGAACGTGCTCGGAAACGTTCCTTACAATTTTGAAGTCAATCCGTTCTAAATACAGTATTTTATTGCAAAATTTCGAGTGGTTTACCTCTGTTTTTGGTCAAACCTGTTGTTCCACTACATCATTCTTTCATCATGAATCCCTTCTTGCTTCTGATTTTCCCTCTTTTCTGCCTCTAAGCAGCACTTTATTGTGTAAGTCTATTCTGGAAAAAAAAACATTAAATCAATATAGAGAAAGAATCTATCACTTTGTGACTCGTGCCACTAACTCATGTTACAAAAGTCGCACTGCCATAAATTGCACAACAGCGCAGTTTATGGTCCGACTCCTACTTTTATAGGTTGGACTACTGTATAGCTAGGAGAAACCAGAATCCTTTGCCCATGAAAGCAAAGGTAGAGCAGTGGAAATAAATATGGAAATTTCATGACTCATGTTGCACGTGCAACCATATTTCTCTTCAAGAAGTCGCAGAAGTTTCGTTCGCATTGGTAACTGAATGTGACACAACTCCTTTGACCAAAAGCATCATAGGTAACATATCCCTAGATTTTCAGTCCTCGCCTAAGTAAAATCTTCAAGAAAGTTTAAAAAACAGTATATACCGGGAAAAGTAGATATGGTCATAATGACAGTCTTAAATTAAAAATGGCAATGTTGCATGATATCGCAGCCAAGATGATCAAATGCACAAAATTCTGTGTACCTTAGGATATCCTATTCCTGGTGGCAGCAACTGTTGGATCGCGCGTTCGTTTTGAAATTTTCTTTTATGTCCGTCTAGCTGTGGAATGACCCACCCACATGAGTATAGTGTTAACAGTAAAAACTTTGCCATGATATGCAGGGAAATTTGTGCTTCTCATTTCTCATGTTGAAGTTGCTCAACATGACAAACATTCTTAGAATGCACATATTGATATTTACTATAAAATGTACCTTTGGAATTGAAACTGAATACTTCTATTGCTTGAGAGTAAGTACAAGAGGGCAATCTTCTCCATCATTGCTCTTGTGCAGAAGCTCACTAATCGATTACTGTCACTATGACAGCATGAATGATAATTTTAATTTAAAAAACGGACATTCATGGTCTAATAACACTTGAAGACATATTTGGGCGTCTCATGAACAGCGCCTTCTCCTGCTATTATGGAGGCAGTAGGTAGCAATTCCATGCTAGTGTAAGGATGATCGTTCAATACTATTGATACTTGGCTACTCAGCCATCCAACGGTAAACGGTAACCTGGCAGTTTACACTTCTCTGTCCTCGTGCAAAACCCCAGCATTTTTAAATTTCCAGAATCGTTGATCGCAATTGAAGCATGATAATTACACTTTAACCAAATACTACTTCATAAGTATCATGATGAGAAGAATACAGGGAAATAAAGAAAATCCGCTACTAAGGTCTTGTACGTCCTGACTTAAGTTCGAATATTTGCAGGAAAGCAAACGCCATCTTATGCCTTTTTTTAGAATTGTACTGGGAACCCAGACATCTGCAAATGCAACGAACCAATGTGTACGTCTGGACTACATCCATACAGGTACGTACGCATGAGAACCTGAAGGACAAAAATACGTACTTCTCACATTTTTACCGGCCCTTGTACATTTCTACTTTGCTCTGTGAGAATGAACTTTCGCGTCTCAATAGAAAGGAATGCCACCAGCAATGTGACATGAGGAACAGACACTCGCGTCTGCTCCAAAGAAAAAATGGCGCCATAAAAAGCCATAAAACCTAAAAATGTCCTTTCAGCATAAAGGGAGTTTCCTGGGAGAGACTTCAGTTCTGCCCAGGGTTCTCAATTCCCGTAAGTTAATCCTGAGAGGAGCGTTTCCATAATTTTGAAGGTCCTTCTGGTCTACCTCCTTGATCTGCCCACATGGAGTCATTTCAAGATTTTAATGACTAATATTCCCCTTTTGTCATCTCCATGTGGCAGATAGATCAGGATCAGAGCGAGCTCTTTTGGTCAACCATGGGAAACCAAATACGCTGCAGACGATGAGTGAAGAAAAATGAGCAATAGCTTCGAGATGATTTCACTTGGGTATTTACCCCAGTATTTTTTGGAGATTATTAGAACCCCAAGAGGGAGAGAGGGGGAGAGGGGGAGAGAGAGGGAGAGCGAGGGAAGAGTTGAGATCAGGCAGTCGGATAATGGAAATGGAGAGTGCAAACTGTAAGAATCACGAAAGGGAGAGAATAAAAAAGGGTGGATATCAAAGATGAAGCAGACGGAGAGAGCGAGGGAATTATGCTCCCACCCGCAAGTTGTTGTGAAGGGCCAGCAACATCATAGGCCGACGATGACTCATCTCGTTCGTAGAGCCGTTCAGGTTGAGTCCTTCCGACTTGCTCAGAATTCTCACTCGTGCTGCTCCGGAGCCTTGGACCATTAGAGTCAAAGTCTCTTGTTAATTTCCTTCTCTTCCGTTCATTTGTCTCCCTCATATTCCTCCTCGTAGTGCCCTGAGATCAGAAAACACATCATTCACTTATTTCTCACTCAATGAACTCATTGGTGCAACCAAAACCATTTTTCAAAGGCTTTCACTTTCTTCAACCCCAGCTTCAATCTCAACCTCACATCTCCCCCCAACCTAGTGAGTTCTAAGGATCTTACTAACTTTTAACCTAGGCCTAACCGACTGGCCGTCATAGGGTGAGGCCTAGACCTACCTTTTTTTGCTCAAAAGAAATTCAATCCATGACTTACTTGGCCAATTAGGCCTTTTAGGATTATTCCCTGGTCTTCGAGACATCTCGTCGAGGACGTCTAAGGTTAGGCCAATCGCAAGCCTATTCAGTCTCTAATGGCCCTTTCGAAAGAGGGCGTGTACCGTTAGACTGATAAGAGGTCTGTTTCGAGTGTCATGAACCGTTTCAGAGCGGACGAGAAACGTTAGGCCTATATACAGTAGAGTTCCTGGAACCGTCTCGACTAGTTCTGAGGTGAGTATGCTATAGGAAGCATGATATACAACCTGGACGCCTTCCTGTTTATTAAGGGATGTACCGATGAGACATCGCCTCCTCCCACCAAATCAATCGGCCATTGGAAGCCATCGTATCAATATCTGCTCATCTAATGAACTAAGCACACATTGATCTGAATCATTTTGAAACAGAACCTCCAGACAAGGCCAAAGAAGTCTTGAATACGACATAACTCCTGTACAAAATCCTTCAACACTGGGAGACGGGAATGGAGTCATCACTAAACAAACAACTACGCCTAAATGAACGACAGTTGATTTCATTTTTTAATGGTGAAATGGTGCACTGGAACCAAAAAAATAACACTTTTCGTCACCTACAAGTCAATATATTTCGTTTGGTTGGTCTCTTTTCTTCGAAAACCCTCCAGGAGCGGCTACCCAAGGAGGAGAAAAAAAAACTGAAATGAAACTCACATCTTCAAAAAGCGAGATTCACTATTCTCCACAGCCTCAGGGAGATGGAACTTCCAATTTGCTGGAGCGATTCTGTGTTAATAGAAGAAGCATGGCAACTTTCGCTCCTATTGATGCTCTCAGTGACGATCACAAGACGGTTGAATTTTGTCGCGGGAAGGGGTTCGAAGAAGGTAATAGGTGCGGTAGGGCCTATTGACGAAGAGGAGTAGGTAATGCACAAGTTGCGTTCGGACCATTTACAAAAGTTTGAAGAGAATAGATCGAAATGGAAAATAATAGATAAGATAATGGAGTGTGCGGAGCATGAAGGAGGGGAGAGCGGATCTGCGGAATGCCACATTTTATCCGGGCTCATCAGCATTAATAATAATATGTAAAACCAACATGTACACCCTTTCCAATCAACACAGTTACATTACAGCTGAAAAATGCTGATTTTCTTCGTGAACTTGGAAGCTCACAAAATATACACGCATTAAATTCTCATGAAAGAAAACCACGGGTAGATTGGTAGTTACTTCTCCGACAAAAATGGTAAAGCAAGACCACCTAGTGAACATCAACAAAGGCCGTTGAAATGGTGGAGGCTTGATTTTCAAATGCAGAACTTACCAGGAATTTGGGCATTTGATTACCAAATTTACTGAAGAGGTTCATATCAACACATTCTTTGCGACCAGCCATGGTCTGGACACCTTACAACCACCAACTCCAATCAGGACAGGTTCCAGCAGCTTTCAGCTCTCAAGGACAGGACCAGAATCTGAAAATGGACGTTTTCCCTGAACTGAGTGTCTCAGTAGGCATGTCCATGCCAAGTGTCAGCTTTCCATGTGGATGCCCCCAATGCATGTACCTCCAAAGTCGGATTTTTTTCTCATCTTTGCATCCCATTAGCTACTTGGTTACCAAATTTCAGATGTCTAACTTCTCTAGAACATGGGTAGAATTGGCGTCAATCAGTCACGATTGTCTATATAAATTAGTTATGTTTAACCTATGGTTCTCCGGTGTGTATTATTCGATTCAGATCAAATAGTCAATACCGCAGCACTCTAGGTAGGAGCTATATTTCTGTTTGGAGGATGGAAAAACTCGGAGTGACAGTAACGTTTTGATAACTCGGTTTTGCAGAGGACAGCAACGTGAACGTAATAATAGGCGTTCAAGATTTTCGAGTGGCATTTGGACTACGCGTTTCAGAACTAAGGCGAGCAACTTCCATTGATCTCAGTGAAGATGATCCGTAAACGACAACCATTTAAGAGCATTTTCGACTTAGTCATGCACGGCTCTGGTGCACCGTAATCATGCAAATCCCTAGATATCCAATGTTGATGCATTTTTCATCAGATTTTATCAATAGTTTAGGTAACGACCTCATGAGGAATTCTTAGGCTTTCAACTGAACCTAGTCAGGAGACAAGGATACACCTCATTTTTCTTCGTAGACATATCTATGGACAGATACTGAAGACGCATCGTAAGCCTGTTATTGAGAAATCGAGAAGCTCATTTATCCGTAAATTCCTGCTTTTTCCAGAGAAAAGTTTCATGCAATCTCGTTTCTCGGGGTGACAGGTAGGCCTTATTTGGAGAGTGATTAGATTAGGTACCAGTTTCAGCAAATCCGTGAGTCATTCACTGTTTGAACGAGGACTGAATTAAAACGAATCACGCGATGTTGTCCCAAGGCTCACCTATTATGTCGCTCCTGGTTCGTGGATCTTTGCGCTACGCTCACGGTTCCAAAAGAACGGCTGGATGAACCCCTCCACATCATAGACCTGCTGGTGACGTCATCAATGACCTCATCCGTTTCACATCCTTTGTCGTTTTTCTCAAGAACGGGCAACCAAAACTTCCTCGTACCATCATATTTAAAATACTCCAACGCCAATGGGTTAACTAAGGTGTTTGTTGAATCCTCTGAAAGTTTTGATACCACCTGAGGAGTCACTATTGCTCAGAAATGAAAGCACCAGCATGATTTCTCATCGCCTTCGAAAACTTTGTGTCCGCAAATGATTCCGTTCCGCGATTAATAATATCTGTGCTCTCTATGAATTGAAATAATATTAATTGTGAAGGCAACGATACCATCACGACTGAATGAATCGACGTTTCCGTCACCGTTTCCTCCTTCCTCACGTGGGAACCGAAGATTTCTGCTTCTCTGGAGGCATAGATTTTGTTATTGTCGCTCAATAAATGGGAAGGAGTCCTAAACTCATCGATCTGAAAATCCTATTCTAAGCTGAAGCTCCGCACATAACCGAGTACTGCGGAGAGTATGCTTTTTTTGATACCCATACTTTTCTACCGGATTCAAATTTCCTCATATGGCCGTGAGTCGATATTCTGCCGGGATGATTTGAAGTCAGCCGATGCGAAAAGCGTAGGAAATGCGTGCTTTTCCCTCAGCATCACCTTGCCATCTGTTTCTGATGCCAGAGGCCTTATCGGAGAAGTCCTTACACAGTTGAAGTGTCACCGTGGAGCCCTACATCGGGACTCGGGTACCCGCAAAGGCGCCTGGCGGCCAGATCAAGTCGTCCAATTCCGGTTGACAATGCATCTCCGATGGGTGTAATCGCGTCTGATTGCTTTCATTAGCCCCAAAAATGCTGCCGAAGACGTTCTTTCTTAGTCCTCTTGCCTTCGGCGATTTTACATGCAGGACTCATAATTCATTAAAAATCCTGACGGGTTGATAATTTCCTTCACGGTCGAGCAATCGAATATCGCCCATTACCACCATTTCCTCTAAGCCTCGAAAGTCAATCTTCAACAACCAGCGAATGGCTCCCTTCCGATTTCATAGGAAGGGATATAAAATATTCTGAGAAATACCTCTAGATTGCTACCTATATGTGGTCGGATAAACGACATTTTTAGCTCATTGCTAGGAATTTAAAATATTATCCCGACTGTTTCAACACCCACTTTTCCCTATACTAAAACTCAATATATCTGGAAAATCGCTTTACACGCATTCAAATCGTTTCCCAATGCAGAAAGAAAGCATACCATGGGATGTTTGGGAACAAAATGCTTCATTGGGACTCATTCTAGCGTTTCGAAAACTTTGACTAGTCAATTCCACGATTAACCTCATCGCCAATCATAATAGGAAGTTCGGAAATGTTTTTCATTAATACAAACTGAGAAACGGGTAAAACTAATGTAGTAAAAGAGAGAAAACACTTTATTCGACGGTTTTCGAAAAAACTTCGCCCGCGAAGGCATTTATCGGCCTAAAAGCGCGCGATGGGTCTTTGTCTTTCCTTCGGCCAATTCCGCCAGAGGATTACTGCCACCCAGATTGCATACTTCGCTCTTAATCCATCCCATTTCTGGGAATCTGGAGTTCCTGATTATTGTATTTCTTCTCTTCAAGAAATACCCGCGTGAAACTATCAGGAATAGCGGAGGGGATACTCATCTGTGATGCAATAGTTCCGTTTTTTAAAGATCCACTTCACGAGAAGGAAAGAAGGTGCAGTTATTTTCAATCAAAATGTCTGCTTTATCGTGCTTTAACCCTTTTAACATGGACTAAATTTGGCTACTGTAGCTAATATCACGGGAGTTGTAATTAGATAAACAATAGCGCAAACAATAGTGGCCAACCGATTCAAATGGATTGAAAACTATCAGTCACAGATGCTTCAATCTTTTCCTTATTTCCCGAAAGGTCATAACTTGTGAAATACTGCAAGGATCCTTTTTTTTTAGGGACGGGCATCGAGGCCGATATATCGACCCGGCCGCGTTAAGAGGGATAACATGTAGGCGTCCTCCAACCCGCTATATCCTTCGGGTCGGCGTCATTCCTCCCAACATCTTCAACACTTGACATGCAATGCTGATAGGATCGCGAAAAGGCGTCGATACGCGTTGACAAAATATGTCAAGAGGAATTGGATTTCAATTTATGAACTTTATTTGCAAGGGCGGGAAATATTATGATGGCCACCAAGTAGACGTTGAACGAATAAGCTGGTATTCAAAGCTATACTCACGCAAAGATCACAGTTGATCCCTGTATTTATAAACTTTTTAGTGTGGGAAATTGGGGTTATTGGAAGACACGATTTCTCATGTACCAGTTCCAAGGCGCATATGCTCCCATAGATGCTTTCCGTCCTCCACCAGAAGGATAATCTCAGAGATGAGCCAAGGTCAGATCACCTGAACCTATGGATAAGTACAATAGATTTGCTCAACTCGCTCCGTAGAGTTCTCAAATTTGCCATGTAAAGAGTGTTTTGTGAAGATAAGTGGAGGACCTGCAACCTGTAACTCACTTCATTTCTTTAGCCATCACGAGTGCTTCGAAGGGAAGTTTCTCCTGGATGACCCATCCTTCTTCGTCCGTGGGCAAAGTCTCTGTCTCTAGGACCTCCGTACTCTCCAGACCCAATCGAAAACTCCCCCCGATAACGGAGAGACCCCCTGAGCTGTCTTCCACCATGCCATGGAATGATCTCTTCTTGCTTAGCGAGGGTAGGAGTTCCCACTCCCCTCTTCTAGTCACGCTGTACCGCCAGCCGTCCCCCCTTGTTTCTGTCCCATCCGACCCCCCCGAGATGTACACATGATCTTTATGAAGAGTGGCTGCGTGAGCCGAGATAGGAGCGGGAATGTCACATGGAAACAAGGACCACTGCTTCGTTCTCGTGTCCAAATATTCACAACTGGAGAGACATTTTCTTGCTTCTGGGTCCCAACCACCCAGCATTAGGATTGTGTGGGGATCCCACATAACTGAACCAGCATTTTTTCTCATAGCTTTCATCGGCGAGAGGGTCGTCCATGTCTCTGAACCTAGGTCCAATCGGTGTGCTCCCTGGGGATCCCCCTCCCCTCCCAAGAGAAAGAGAGAGTCACCAATGACAACCCCTGTGGTCGCATGAATCAGGTACGGATCAGGAATGTGAAGCACTTCATCCCATTCGTAAGCAGACACACGAGGGTTCTTCCCCCCAAGATACAGAATGTGGATTTTTTCCTTTCCTCCGTGAATGAGTCTGTCAGAGTCGGCGAGGAAGAAGTCCTTATTGGAATACGAATCCTGGACCCAAAGAGTCGGGGCATGATGACTCAATTCCCAAATACCCTTTCGCTTGCATTCATCCACTCCCATTGCGAAAATTCTTTCTCCTATTTCAAGGGAAAGAGGAGTCATGCCAGGAGGAAAATATGGAGAAGGAAAGGAAATACCACAAATACTTGGCACTACAGAACATTCCTGTTTTGTTATTTCTTGGTCTGGAATTTTCTCTCTGAGTTTGCATTTGCCATTACTTACACAATCTCCATCCCCATTATATAGTTATTTTTTGTTCTGAGCAGCTTACTAGCCTATATTGTATGCCAATTTTAATCCTATTCTTGTTGGCGCCGATCAAAATGCATAGCTATCATAATTTCGAGAGAGTCAATCAAGTTCCTAATGTCATATAATATTCCAGACGAGGCAAAACCCCTCTCCACTTACACTCCCATGGGATTGGTGCTCCGGACTGCTCGGTCGACCCAACACAAGGCAGATACCGGATTACATAACGGTTGGGATAAGGGCTCACACCATTGCATCAAAGTTCGCAGTAGAGCTGAGCTTACAGAGCTGAGAATGACATCATACCAGAACTTACGCAAATGCAAGGCATTTGAGGACGTGACGGATTTCGCTTCATGTCTACGACAGTTAATTCTTTTCCTCAGTACGTAAAGGAAATGTTCATGCATAGTGTTAACAAGTACGAGAGGATTTGCAGCAATGTGAAACGTAGATAAATTGCAATCACATAACGTTCATCCGTTTCAGAAAGGAATTCATCATATTTAAAAGATTGAATCAAGGTACTGCCAATTTTGACCATTCGCTGCTTCCAACGATGCTGACAACTTTTTCCGAATGGTTAAAGCCGCCTAATCAAACCAATGAAAGCATGTGGTTTCGTTTTTGTATGAGACAACGATTAGGAGAAAATTAAATAAATTTTTCCACTGATAGGGCAGCTACCATCCTGATGATGTCTTAGAGTTCTAGAATGGTCTCTCCTGCGAGTTTTCCAGGTATTTGGTACTACGGAACTCATGTGCAGTTTGTGATATTCAGCAGCAGTGGATTCTCAATGAAGGCAAGATAAATTCTGGCCCACCCGGCCTCTAAGAGGGCCCACAGCAATTGAATATAACGAACCGCAACTTTTGGTTGAAATAAACGCTAAGTAGTTTCAACTTGTAGGTCTAGCACTCTCGATTTCAATAATGCACATTCTCCAACGAAAATCTTACTTACGTGGTTACGGTAAATGATTAAACCCCTCACTAAATTTCCTCGCTGTCCGTAATAGGCTCTCAAGCTCTCTTTTGAACAAGATATGAAAAGTGTGCAATCATACTTTTTACTTGGACTTACACCAGGTGTGAGAAGAAATGTGCGGTATTTAAAAAATCCCTTATGGAGCGAAATATGAAAAAAACCAGCACAATGAGTTCTTGTCACCTTTCAGATGGTATGCATCCCAAGATCATACATGAAATGTTTTCAAGATGTTCGGGCTTGATGCTACGATATCAACCATGATACTATAATTTAGCTTATTATTGCTGTGCTTTAAAAATATCCCACTTTTCCTTGCAATAATTTCTCCCCATATAATAAGCGTTGCATGGCGAATCTACACAACATACGAGGGATTTTGAATAAGATTCTGTCTGAAATTACCTTCTTGAGGCGATGTCTCTCTCCTTGCGTCTTCCTCCATAGTTGGCCCCAAAGAGATCTACAAAGAAGAAGCTTCTTGCTGATGACACTGGCACCATATTTGAATATGTTGAATATGGTGGGGAGATCGGGAGTTACTGAAAAAAGACGGCCTAAATACTGCACCTTCAGAAAGTGACTTTTTGTATTCAGTGCCCTCCAGTCTTGCTGAGAGAGGATGGCAACAGAAGCTGCCTGAGAGCAGTGGATGAGGAGACCATCTCGTTCCATCTGCCTCCAGAGTCCCATACGGGTTCGTGCTGCAGGGTGATTGCCTCCATCGACGATGAACAGGGTCCTCGTGGCACGGGAGATCCCCTCTACAACCCATGAGTCCTCAAGCCCCACGCACATTACCTGTGCACTCTCGCAACCGCGGTAGTCCTTCGGATGGTAGACCTTCACATCTTCCATTGTTGACGCACTTGCCGCTTTCAACATTCTGAGAGCTTCTGTGAAGACCCCTCGAGTCTCCTCTTCTGAGATCAGCACCACGATATTCTCCTTAAAAGTTGAATGAGAGTATCTCCATGAGAAAATAAATTGACCCGCCACCTCCATACAATAACCCAATTCAAAGAAACTTTTTCTCAATTCTGTGCTGCTGGCAATTTGAAAGGGTGGTTCAAAACAGTGCTGAACAACATGACAAATTAACCTGAAGCTACCGCAACTGTATTTTTTCCCGCAATGAAGGCCCGAATGATTCCATGATGGCCATACCTTAAGTTATACAAACATACCCTTACGAAAATGTCTTATAGGATTTCTTTATATTCCTAAAGGAATATATAGGAATCCTATAGGAACCTAAAGGAATCCCATAGGATTCGATATGCCCCATAGAGTTCAGTTTGGGACCTATAGAGTTCCCTATAGAACCTATAGAGTCCCCTATAGAACTTATAGGGTTCCCCATAAGGACTATAGGTTCCCTATAGGACCCAAAGGGTTCTGTATAGGACCCGTAGGGTTCCCTATGAAACCTCTAGGGTTCCGTATAGGACCTGCAGGGTTCGCTATAGGACCTTTAGGATTCTCCATATGACGTATAGGATTCTCTATAGGTCCTATAGGGTTCCCTATAGGACCTATAGGGTTCCTTGTAGGGCTTATACGGAACCCTATAGGCCTATAGGGTTCCCTTTGAAATTCTCATCTAGGCCACTAGATGGAAGTATTTGGTTCTCGCATTTCTCAAAGGGCAAAAAATTGCCCTCCCCTTACCGAAGGAATCATCTCTCACAAGAGAGTTTTATACGACCCCTTATGTCTCGCCTTGCCTCATTGTAGCAATCAATTAACTTTGACAGTTCCTTATTTGTCATCCCCATCTTGCAGATATAATCATGGAGTCCCATGAAGAAATATGCCCTTATTCCTTTTGAAGATCACGTACGAAACCAAGTAGACTCTATCCACATGGGGTGTCAGTAAAGAGACGAGCTCGCAGGTTCTGTCGTCTATTTCCTCAGGTTGAGCGAATAATCCCTTTTCTCTACCGTAGGAAGTAGATGTGCAATCCAGCGACATGTTGTGGGGCAGGGCCATAAATTATGCAGACCTCCGCAGTATTGGTATTAATAATGGAAGTGCCCCTACCATGGAAATACCCCTAATTCATTGATTTACACCGAAATGCTGCGCGAATATTATCCCCAGTCGCCTTTTCCGTCGTAAAGCCTGGGTTTCGAAACCCAAAATTTCCTCCCGAATCCTATAGGTCAGGAGACCTTTAAGACCCTATAGGGATCCTATAAGATCCTAAAGGATCCTATAGGTTTTTCGTGTTTCGAAAACCTATAGAAAAGTCTATAAGTTTCCTATAATTAATAACTATAGGTTTCCTATAGGACATTTTCGTAAGGGTATTCTCCTCTATCTTAAAGAGAATAATCTCAGTTACAAGCTAGTGATAGCTACAAAAGACCGGATTTCTAGTAAGAATATGCAACCTTCGTGTCATCATCAAGAGCTCACAGACATTAGCAGATAGCAGCAGAAAATAAACTGCACAGAACCATTGGTATGAAATCTGATCCTCTTCAACCTACGAATCCTCGGATGATGTACTTTACGTAATAACCGTCCTTGCTGCTAGTACTGCTACACGCTCCACCCCGTAGCATGATCTACTGCTAGACATCAGTGCACGTTTGATACTACAGCCGTCCTGGTCTCGTCCTGGCTCCTCAGCGGCTAGAAGTAATAATTCTCAGTGGGTAGAGAGGAGATTTCCGGAGAGGTAGACAATGTCTCGGGTTCATTAAAGTGACCATGGAGTGAGGAAATGAAGTATGAGAATTCCTGGTGTCTCCAGAACAAGGGGTCTACTTTTTCTTTGGATGTCTTCTTCCTCCAGGGACTGTCTTTACTATCAAAATAAATTCTATAAAAATACTATCAAAAACTTCAAAATAAATACTATTCTCTTTCACTCACCCATGCAATCAGAAAGGCCCTTAAGGTTCTGATGCCCTCTTTAAAAAAAAATGTAAAAAACCGCAAGCCCTCCATCTATTCCGTTGCCAGTCCACTCCTTTTTGCGGAAACGAAGAATCGGAGGGATGAAAGTAGTTGAGAGAGAAGAAAAATTATGAGTCATTGCAGCAGTCAAAGTAACTTCATCGATATCATAAAGTTGAGGCGCTGGGTTCATCTCCTTTTCCCACCACTCCAAGAACTCAACTTCATCAACAAATAAATAAAAGAAACTGTCATTCCTGCTTTTTAATTTTATACATTATCCACATTTACGTTATTTAAAAGAGTCTCGGTCATTAGTTACCCGTCATTTATTTAATTTCTCTTCTTTGTTTGGTGTTGAATTTCAAGCGTGTATACTTACATACTGTTTTTCTCAGACTTTCAGTCCTTGTGTCAGCATCAAAATTCTATAACACAGAATATAATCTTGACTTTAGGAAGCGATTTTCTACGAGGTAATTTGGACATGAAATCTCGATTTTGAAGTTAAGTGATCTATTTTGTGCTTTCCCAGATTGGGTTACACTGGTGGACGAGTTTTGATTTCAAAGGAAATAATATTCAATAACGAAGAAGCGTAAAAAACGCAGGATTTCTTTTTTGTACTCATCATATCGATCCGTTCAACGTTTCGCACTTCGTGCAACCTGAAGTTTCACTCATTAATGCGAATTCTTTTAAATCTCTGTTCAACACCCTGGATGCACAAGAATCGAACGTCATTTTCCAACAAGAGGCGATGAAATCATGACACCGTGAGATTTCAATCGTATGCCGGTCCGCCATTCTGTCTTGGAGAAACATCCACATTTCCATGCATGATTTGCTCAGGCAGTTCTAACGCTTTCTGTTTCCATCTGACGACAGACACGGCAGACTCACCACATTTCCGAAAAAATCAGGAAAAGCAGCTCAGTGTCAAGATGAGACAGATCTACTCATTAGTTTTCCCCGTTCCGTTAGTACGTGTTTACGGATGTGCGAAATGTGCTCACAACATGCTTTGAAACGCATTGACTTCGCTGCCGAGAGTGAAATGTTGCATCCAATAGACGTCATTGATTGGTCTGAAGTTCCCACTTTTCAGTTTACGACTGATACCAGCACGCTTCTTTTGTGCTGGGTGAAGCAACTCATCAAGTGAATGAGAGAAAAGCACGAAACATCACTTCAACCCAAGAGGAACAGACCATCCAAAGCCGGCTCAAATTCTAAGGTATAGCGCTGACCTCTTATCAGTTACTCTTCTAGTGCGTCCACATCGCTAGCATATACCTGTACGATGAAGACGCGAATGATTTTGAAGTCCACACCAAATTAAGGCATGAAGACACGTACTAGCATATGCGAATGAAGGTAAGTAGCAGCAGTGACTGCGACGCATCCTTGACTCGGGCCACAGAGGCACGTGAATTCCCCATGATAATGTGCCTCGAGAGGAGGAGTGATGAGGGTAGGTTTCCTTCCGAATACGACTGAGGTGGACTGGAGCCTCGTACTCAGCAACCCTGGATTCACCCTCAATTCCACGGGAGATTCATGGTACAGGATGTGACGAAGTAGGTGGGGGAAACCGGAATCCCGATATCCCCTTACCAGATTACGCACGCCTAGGGGAAGGGACGATTGACAAAATAAGACTCCTCAGAAACGACAGTATGACTCAGAAAAATTCCCTATACATATGCAAATCTATGTATAACTAGGAGGCATGCACTTCTCTCGGCGGATACTTTCTTGCCTCATGAGAAGACGTTTCACCTCTCCTCGAGAGCTCATTCTTTATATTTTGTTTCGAAAAATGTCCATCAGTAGTACAGTTCGTAAGGAAGAAGACATTATCCATAATACACTGTAAAAAATAAATGTTCTTGAATGAAACCTTCATAGAACCGTTTTCTTTGAAGAGAATATACAGATTCCAGGAGCTACTTTGATCCGAGATCGTTAACAGGGCAGAAAATGAACTCTACGACCTAGGACAGTCAGACAATTGCTCTAACTGGTAATTATTACTTTCATTTAGTTAAAAACGGTTCTACTCTAAAATTAAATGTAAGAATATGAATCATTTTCAATGAAACTTTTATAGAACCATTTTCGGGGAATCAAGCCTACACGAGCTGAAACTGCTCAACTCTTGGAGCTACCAGGATATGAGGACTTTGACACAATAGGTGATCAATTCTAGGTTCTAAGACATTCATATGATCACTCCCACGAAGAACTATTAAGCAAAGATACGGATAAAAAATGTTTCTAGGGATCAAAAAACCCAGTTTCTTGCCGAGCCCTATCCTTAATAGTTAAAGAGCTTCCAATTTATTGTGTCATTATGTCAAATAGTTTTGAACCGAACTCAAAACCATTCCAAATGGTTTCTCGATCACTGAAAACCACTCTGAAAGAGCACACACAGCTGAGGGTTCTATTGCGAACCATTATTTTTTTTACAGTGTATATTAATTGCTGGCGAAATATACGATTATAGGCATAAACTCGTCCATAATATTTAATTTGGAAAATTGGAGATTCATGAAGGATAAATTAAATGAATTTGAAAGACGTCGAATGAGGGATTATTAAAAAATAGAATGCTTATAATATTGTGTAAAATGTACATTACCCTATCATTTAGCAAACCAGTAGCTGTGCGCTACCAGTAGCCACTGGCTCAAACTAAGGAGTAGCGGCAGCTCCTAGTTTCCTCGAATCCAGCAAAATTTACGCAAGTCACTCTCATCGATCCCATCTCCATGGCATTCAATGTGTTGATGTTGATGTGATGATTGTTCAATGATCAAGTTTATATTTCTATCTCATTTTCATTTCGTATTGCCATGATTTACTGTAAATTTAACGTAAACTCTATCTTCTTTTCATCTCCAGTGAACTATTTTATATGAATGTCATTTGTAATTGTTGATGCAGTATTCGAAGCCTAATTGACGACAACAATTACTTAAAGATTTTTCCTCGAACAGGAGTCATGGAATTAAAATAAAAAGTGAATGTTTTTCCTTAGTTTCCAGAGCCACGGAACAGACGTCAATGGAGAGAGCTCGACATAAGTCGGTGGCTTTTATTTTTGCCCTTATGAAACAAAATATCCACAGAAATGAGATCTGCAGGCATGAATTTCCTTCACTAAAGCAGGCAAAAAGTTCATCATGCACACTAGCTAAGACTTGTGGATTCTGATCCAACGAAATTGAAGCGTTCATTAAATATGAAATCAATATTTCTGAAACATCATGGTTTCACAGTGTGTTGCCTGCATTGAAGAACAAATTCTTACCGACTCCTCGGGGTAGTTGGATTCCCTCGACGAACTGTTTCACGTCAAAGGTAGTTGTGTGATATTCGTAGTATGGTTGGAAAGCGATACTGAGTGATGCAAGCGAGTTGCGGCATTGAGAAAAGGATTCAAGAATTGATTCCCATTCTCTCCTCAATATTTCTGTGTCACCAGGCCTTCCACATGGATGAATGGGTGCATCGTCGAAGGCAACGTGGAGTTTTCGTCCCTCATCCTCTACCTTCTCCAGCATCTTCACCAAAAGCTTTTGCATGACGCCGGGGGAAAGCGATTGATAGTTCCTAAGACCATGTTGCCCCAAGAGGTCGTGCACGTCTAGAGCCTCAACGACGCCGCCAAGTCCTGCCAGCTTCAGCCTTTCTTTAATGCCTACAAGGGAAAGACCTCTCGGTGAGGCACACCTGTTCCATCTGCTGCAGTCAACGAAAATAATCCGGGACCTTTTTGATGATACGTTCGTTCTTTCCATGTCGGCTGGTAATTTTAGTTTTTGAATCAGAAACGATGTTTTTCCGGAACGGTTCGAACCGAAGAGGATTTCGATCTCTCTTACCACATCCATGGTGTCAGTTGAAGGAGGAAAATCTGGTAGATGGGCTCCACTGCTCCATGGAGCTTCAATATAGGCAGACTCGTCCAGTGGATCACTATGCAACAGATCTTCAAACGGCTGTGCTGGCTTTCTTAGCAAGTAGGAGGAAAATAGTTTGAGTTGGCTGGGTTCTTCCCTATCATCAGTGGGTAAAGGGTCAGTTGTGATAACATGCAGAGATTGTCTGGCCATGGCGACCATTTTTGACCAAGACTTATAAAAAAGATTTCCATCTTTCAAAAGAATGAGATTTTCGAATGCCAAGCCGGTCACTTGGTCTTGATAAAACACCAGAAAACGTGGTTTTGAGGCTCCTCGAAGTCTTCCTTCTGAGTCCAGAAAGGTCACTCCTTCTCTATAGCGACCTCTGAGCTCTCGTACCAGAGCATCTCTTTCCCAGTCTGTCCTGGCGATGATGGCGAAGGGTGGGGAATCTATCATGGATAGACTGATCTCCACTGCAGCAGTAGGTGCCCAGAGACATGCCCACTTGTATTCTTGGGGAGATGCAATAATGACCGGGCAGTTTGACTTGCAGAGGTCCAAGGTCCTCGACTCAGCTGTGTTTTCCATGGGTTCAAGCACATGCATTGGGTCCATATACATTGGCAGAAAGGACATGCATGGAAACCTCTTCTGAATGAACCGGGTAACTTCTTCACAAAAGTTATCTAATTCTTTGGTGCTCCTTTTAAAACTGGCGAACGTCTTCACCTTCTCTTTCCCCACGATATCAATGACTTTCTGTAATTCGAGATTTTCCGGGTAGGAGGTATCGCTGGGACGCCAGGCAATCCACAGACTCCTACATTTTTTATTATCTGTCAAATTCCTCCACATACGTCCGATCTCCTCCGTATCCTCACTGTTCATCCCGAAATTCAGCGGCATTTCATCCACCAGTACGTGACAGTCTCCTAGGACATTGACTTTCTCAAAGAAATGGCTTATTACGTGTTGAGAGTCCCCTAGAAACTCCAAGGAATCCATGACTTTGATATTGTCCTTGGATACATTGGCCTTGACATCATTAGTCAGCTTTCCACTTGACATATTGACAATAACGACTGGTTCCCCTTTCTTTGCCAGCTTTTTGGCCCTATTGAGAAGCCAGTACGTTTTTCCCGTACCGTGCCTACCAGTCAGGAAGAGAACGGATCGATTGGTTGAAGTATTTCTTGGGTCCTTTTTTCGGCTTAGAGGGAGGAAAATGGAAGATATATGGATTCCTTTGTTACTTTTCCCTTTGAACTCTGTATTTTCCAAAGGCAAGTCCACCACGGATGAGAATTCCTTATAGTCACTGTGATATCCCTGATCGTCCCCTAAGAGTGTATCTTCATGACGATTCCATTCCAACGACTCCGTCATATTTCCTCTCGATAGAGTTTTGAGAGTGGTTAGACTGAAAACGATCAGGTAAGTGCAGGAAGACGTTGTCGCTTCAATGAATAGTGGGTGGAAGCGATCACTTTCATTCAGGTGATCTACGTTTCCAGTGATATCGACCGTCGGTTGGCCACTCCAAGCCGTGATCACGAAGAGGGTTCTACCTCCCCCAAGGAGACTTGAGCATACGTAATGACGGTCCCCTTGGGTTTCCAAGCATCTTTTCACCAAGGTCACTGGAGACATTACTGGTTCATTCGGTTCTACAATGGGCATGGACAAGCAGAACATTTTTTTGAGTTTCTTAACTAGATTGGAATGCCTCGGTGGGATTTCTCTCACCCGACAGAAAACAATTGAAATAGTTGAATCCGCTGGTTTGATACGTGATTTTCGCCTGTGAAACGTTAGGTCAGGAGTTTCGATGAACAACGTTTCCCGTCCCATTTCTTTCAAGACGTGACCTGTACAAGAGGCGTACGGGTGCTCATTTTCTGAAGAAAAGTTTTCTTGGGATATCGTGTTTCCGAGGATGAAAGGGACATCAACGAGCACTTTCAATTGCTTCTGGGAGTCTTGGTCAAACTTCCACATCCACCATTGACTTAACTTCTTATGATACTCACAGCTCTGTGCACAACTCAGTGGTTTCTGTGGAACAGAACATAGATACTTTACCGTGGTCAATGTTGTCTTTTTTTGATGGTATGAATGGAGTCGTTGCCCTTTCGTTCCATGCGCCTTGTCAGTTCTGTGTCTTCAGAAATAGACAATATTATTACGTTTTTAGAGCTCAGTGGAAACAAGGAAGAACTAGTATATTCCAAAGCATCATTTGGGAATGAAATGCGTTGTTTTTTTCTGTTATAGGGTGAGTGGCCCATCCATGTAAAGCAACATGCAAAAACTGCAGTTTTCACATTAATTACATTTTTTCATTTGAAATCAATCCACATTTCTTCAGATTCGTGGCTAACCATTCGTCCTGAGAAAACTCGGCATCACCATTCATGGAAAAGGGGTGTCAGTGGTCATTCGATGCAAAATCTAGCTGGCTGTCGATGTGAAAAAAACTTCCTGCGATGTTATGCAAGTTGTTGTAGTAAAGTTTCCAAATTTATGAGTCACAATATCGTTAGAATATATCTTCCAAATTGTTCTTCTTCATATCAGTGAAGTATTAAATATAATGTTCCTTCATGAATTGGTACTAACATTTGTTCATTTAAATGGATCCCAGAAGAGACGGTTCCGAGGTGGACTAGTGCATCGCCATATAGCTTTAATAAATATTCATCCATTATTACATTGATCTTGTGGAATTTTAAATTGAAAGAACGTCTAAGCAATTTTTTGCGTTTCATCAGAACTTTAGAGAAGAGTACTGCAATGGGTATCTTAAATTCTACGCTTGCATGTAGGCTTCCTTCGTAGTTTAATGTAGAGCTATGACAAAGGATGAGGAGGTTCTGCGAATGGCATGCAACAAGAGCACCTTCGAAACGCTAGTCATGTTCCAAAACAGTGATGCTGATTCATTCGGAATGCCACTTCAGAAACAATGAAAGCCACACTGCAAGAAAGAGCTTTGAATGCTAGTTTAATTTGCAGGTCGAGGTTAGCATGGCATAGTAGACAATGTGTTTAGGAGGTCCCGTGAGGTATAAGAGGCACCAATGAAATGTCTTTCATATCATGTTCGATGTATCTAAACAAAATTTAAGAGCAGGGGCTTCGCTGCCAACTATTGCATAATTAAATTCTTCTGAAAAGCTGAGAAGTGTTAAATTATCACAGCTGCGGGATCATTGTGGCCTCCTCGCCTTTAATATCTAAAACCGGTATTCCCCGAGTAAGTACTCACTCCCTGCTAAGGTAGGGTCTAATGATATTACTTACGCCATCTCACCTTGTCAAGAATAGGAGAGTGATGCTTTTTTCCTGTTTACAAGTTGCACGTAGTTAAATCTTCGGAAAAAATGAACACCGTAGGGTGGGTTGCTTTTATAAAATTTACAGGGTTTGAGAGTTAATGAAACTTAAATCAAGCTAAATCTTGAATTTTCCACAGAAAATATAAAAAATGGCGATACCGGAAAGACACGAGGATAATTTGAAATCGGTCCGGCATGCCAGCACACTGACGGCTAAAAAAACAGACAATGAACGGGATGAACTCCATTACTACAGCCTACATGACACTTCGGACTTGAATGTTTAGGGTGTATCCACTGAGACTTTCCATACAAAACTCAATCCTATGAGATATATATGGAAGGGGGAGGATGTCCCTTTTAGGCGTAAATAAGTCTGCTCGAAAGATGTTCACCTAGTTCCATATTCATATCCACCTCCTATCCACACTGTGTCCAGTTAGAAGTTATTGAACGTAATGAAAGGTTTCCCTTCCTGAAACTCCAGGGCATTGCATATTTTAAATTGATGCAGTGCTCCATAGGATGGAAAGCACCACCTGAAGTGGTGTCATGCTTCTTTGCCATTTATTCCGTGCACAATGTTTTTCATTATTATACAAAGTGTTTCATTTATCTTGAAACTATGAGAGTGTTAATTTAAAGGAAAACTTTGTGAATACGCATTTCAGATTTATTTTGAATACATTTTTCATTTCAGATTGAAGATAATACATTGTTAGGTTGTTTACCATGGTTCCCTGGGGTCTGGGACATCATGCAGGGATTGTGGAACTTATTTTGAAAGTCACTCAATAGTGACTGCAGTGAGAATTTTCGGAAGATTATTTCAGACACGAGACGCTCCCAGTAAATCCACTTTTCGTTGCCAAATTTAGGGACTTAAGGTCTTTGGCTGTTAAAAGGCACAACCGAACACATTTAGTGCGAACAATGGAGACAATAACTGCCATAAGCGCAGAGATTCAGGGAAGCCCAAAGAAAGCGATGCAGTGCACGATCTGAACAACCAAAAACAGGATCAGGTCTTCGAGAAGTATGCGGTGAACAGTTGTTACTCTCACAACTGTCTGGTTCGACATAAGGCGAATGGATTAATTTGGGCTTAGCTGAATTGCTGCGCTAATGGTGACTATCTTCTCCGTTTTTCGCACTGAGTGTACTTGTTTGTGCTTCTTAACGGCCACAGATCCACCTTCATTAAATGCGGCAACGTGCTGTAAAAGAGTGGATTTACTGGGAGTGTCTCGTCACTGAAATAATCTTCTGAACGTTCTCTGTCCAATAATCTTCTAAAGGTCACACAATTGAATGACTCTATTGAGTGACTTTCAAAATGAAGTTCCGCAATCCCTGCATGATGTCTCGTGCTTTAGGGATCCATGGTCAATAACTAAGCAGTGTTTTCCTCTTCAATTTTAAATGAAAATTGGAATGCTTATTTACAAAGTTTTCCTTTAAACCAGTATTATCATGGTCTCAAGATTAATGGAACACCCGGTATTACATCTTAACGCACCAATCACGGCATCATCTAAATACAGTTGCATCTAGTAGGCCATTCTTAGGCGGAATTAACTGACCTTTTCTTGGAAGAATTTTTCATTTTCGTCTTCAGTTGCTCTTGTTTCCTATATTTTTCCTGGGTTTCCTTCTGCCCCTCATTGTCAGCCAATTGAAAGGAGGATCCCTCACTTACTAGTCTCCGGTATTCCCGTAGATACTGCTCTGAGTCTCCAGTGTCTGAAAGGGATTATAGGGTGTAGCACACAGATAGCCCCCCCCTCCACAATGTAAACTATAAAATTACAATATAAATATACAAGGTATATCATGAGAAGTGTATTCATTTTCGTATCTAAACATGAACTTCTCGCAATTTGTGTGAACCCTCGCTGTCTCTTTGAGAGTTTTAATAAGAGCGGGGGTAAGGTGAAGAGGCGCTTAAAGAGTTCTATGTCATCTTCCACGTCCTTCAACGCCCTAGTGATCTTCAACCCTCCATGCGCAAGAGCCTCATCTCGGACTTTCATGATAACTCCAATGGACATCCACATTCAGATCAGGAGAGTTTCCTGGCCCTTTCGAATCCAAAAAAAAATCAATCCCTCAGTCTTTCAGCAGTTGTAGTATGCTCAAACCTTTCAACAATTGGGCTTTATCAAACAGAAGCTGAACATTCAATCTATTTCGAAACCCATGAACGGGTAACGAATTCAGCTCCGGCATCGTGAGCTCGAAACGTAATAGCACGGATACGATCAATGAGTTTAAGTTCTTCATCATCAGATTACATCAGAAAAAAATGGGACAGAATAAATTCAAATTTGAGGAAGGATTCCAATTACAGTATATAAAAAATGTTTTCCTAGCTCCTGTAGTTAATGCTGTGTTGGGGCGGAGGCTACCTGTGTGCGACACCCAGTACTGTCAATATACGATGCACCGAACTTAGAACGAAGCATTTGCATGAAATGAAATAATTTTAAAAGATGAAACAGCTTCAAGTACAGCTACAGTACAACTGGGCAAATGTAATCTCCCAAGAAAGTATCAACAATTTTACTTGGAGTGCTAGTGTCATGTACACATTAATCTCATCTAGGAACATCTTCTGAACAGGGAAAATTTCGGTTCCTCCCACCCTTATCACTACATTGGGAGTACGTGGTACCAAATCTGTACTCATACAGTATACGTCCAGACTGAGAGAAGATGGGGAACATCGACAAATAATTTATATTTCCTTAGTTCTTGTAAAATTTAGCCCACCTGAAAATCTTAAGAAGGCAAGAATAAAACCATACGAAAATGTCTTATAGGATTCCTATATATTCCTATAGGAATCCTATAGGAACCTAAGGAATACTATAGGAACTTAAAGAAATCATATAGGTTCCTATATGTCCCATAGAGTTCAGTTCGGGACCTATAGAGTCCCCTATAGAACCTATAAAGCTCCCTATAGAACCTATAGAGACCCCTATAGAACCAATAATGGTTCCTCATAAGGCCTATAGGTTCCCTATAGGACCCAAAGGGTTCTGTAAAGGACCTGTAGGGTGCCCTATAAAACCTGTAGGGTTCCCTATAGGACCTATAGGGTTCCCTATAGGACCTATGGGGTTCCCTATAGGACCTATAGGGTTCCCAATAGGACCTATAGGGTTCCCAATAGGACCTATAGGACCTATATGGTTCTCTATAGGACTTATATGGAACCCTATAGGCCTATAGGGTTCCGTTTGAAGTTATCCTCTAGGCCACTAGATGAGAGCATTGGGTTCTCATATTTCTCAAAGGGCACAAAAGTGCCCTCCCCTTACCCAAGGAATCATCTCTCACAAGAGAGTTTTGTACTGTCCCCAAATGTCTCGCCTTGCCTCATTGTAGCAATCAATAAACTTCAGCAGTTCCTTCTTAGTCATCCCCATCTTCCAGATAGAATCATTGAGTCCCGTGAAGAATTAAGCCCTCATTCCTTTTGAAAACCACGTACGAAAATTTTATGGACTCTATTCAAATGGAGTTTCAGTAAAGAGACGTGCTCGCAGGTTCTGTCTTATATTTCCTTAGGTCGAGAGAAGGATACTACTTCCCTCTACCGAAGGAAGTATACGTGCATTCCAGCGACATATGTTGAGTCGGGGTCATAAATTATGCAGACCACCGCAGTACTGGTATTAATAGTGCATGTCCCCCCTACCATGGAAAAACCCCTAATCGGTTTTTTATTTACACCGAAATGCTGTGCCATTATTAACCCCGGTCGCCTTTTCCGTCGTAATGCCTGGATTTCGAAACCCAAAATATCCTCCCCGATTCCTATAGGTCAGGAGACCTATAAGACCCTGTATGGATCCCATAGGATTCTAAAGGATCCTATNAAATATCCTCCCCGATTCCTATAGGTCAGGAGACCTATAAGACCCTATAGGGATCCTATAGGATTCTAAAGGATCCTATAGGTTTTTCGTGTTTCAAAAACCTATAGGAAAGTCTATAGGTTTCCTATAAGAAATAGCTAAAGGTTTCCTATAGGACATTTCCGTAAGGGAAGTGTTGAAGTCAAAGACAAATTCCATCTCACACACAAATTAATGCTAAAAAAAAATAATTTTGCGGGAGTCTATTGAACGACTTTGTTCCCCCACCCCCCTTTCCACATACGGAAAGAACCCAGGGGAATGGAATGAAGACGATATTTCCATCCCTTCCTCATGAAGAGAGTTTCCAGGATTCAATTTGACGAGCATGAAATATCGTATCGAGTGTACCTTAGGGCGACGGTGTAATTGACAAGACAAGAAGTAACTATGTTCAGTTGGAGATGAAGTTATACCTAGTCTTGCTGGTGAGCGGAGTGGAAAGAGTTCGTACGTCTCTGCGCATAAAGGAAGAGAAAGAGAACACGGTGACCTAAGTATTGTTTTTCTAACTAAGTATCTACCTAAGTAATCTACCTAAGTATTTTTAATCTACCTCATTCCTCATAATCTATCTATTATCTAATCTACCGAAGTATTTCAACAATACATGCGTATTGTTGAAATGCCCCAGCTGATCACGCTTGATGTTAACCGCTAGTGAAGGCTTTGTGCGCAAGGAACATTCCAAGGATCTCAATTTGCTATGGCGAGGTCAGCCTGCTCTTTTCCTGGTTTCCTGATCTGGTCTCTCCTGCGGGCACGGGGCCTGCCAACCAGGCATTTACCGTCAATGCTTGGATAATCCCAACATGCAGAGATTGGTCGTTCCTCTGGACAAAATGGACGGATTTTAATTATTGAGGTGTCAATCGAAGGCTCATGACCTGGAGGCGATATTTATTGGGTCAAAAGTCCAAAAAGTACCCTGCGAACGTGGTTTCTACGGGTTCTCTTCAAAATTTGAACTCTTGAAAAAATAATTATCGCCACCAGGTTTCGAATGACACCTATAGTTTTAAAATGTGGCACATATAATACATTTGGAGGATGATTCTCGTTATCAGTGACTCTCCATTTCCCTTTTGTAACATAAACCCAGCGAGTTCCACTGCAGAGCTTTCTCAAGCGGCGCAGCTTTTAAATTTCATACAGGAATGGTTTCATTCGATTATAGGTGGATGCGTTTCTTTTTTAGGGAAACCCCAATCGCCTGTACGCAAATGTTCAGCGAGTTCTACCTCTTAACCTCAATGTGAGACCCATGGTTTTAACTCAAGAAAGCCCCGGTAAGAAAGGGGTGTATTTTGAGTTTGGCCGGGATGCTGATCGGCTCGATAGGACTGATCTGACCCATGCATTGGTCATGAAGGTCGGTTGAAAGTCAAGTTTCTGGTCGGGTGCGAGAGAATGCGTCATGTGAGCCCTCGAGTTCTGAAGCTCAAAGGATAAAACAGGTTTCGGACCGGTCGAAGCGTTCGGTATAATGCTATTCTTGTCGGCCGAAATTTGGCCTCATTACATGAACATGGGAATGTATTTTTGGACTTTTGATCCAGCAAGTATCGCCTCCGGTCATAAGCTTTTGTTTGACATTTCACTCAGGAAAATCCGCTCATCCGTCTGGGAGGAGTTTCCCCGGAATGGCACCCCGACACAGAGAGATTTTTCTCTAATGTATTGTGTACGAGCCTATATGCCTCTGGCATATGGAGAGATGGTCGGGCATCGATTTCACAAAACCCATCCCTAAGAATGTTTTTTTTCGGTGAATAGGGAAATTTTCATGAGTTTCATATTTCCCTATATATCATAGTTAGATTGCAAGGATTCCCATGCCAAAGGCACTCTTTGCCACCCTGTCCGCTTGCACGGAACGCCCCTCATTCTGAACCGTTCCACCCGGAAATGCGTTTATGCGCAGATCTGCGGGGGCCCCTTCGTCTCCCTGGGGCAAATACGTCATCAGAGACATCAAGCTGAGAGGCCTAAGCTGGCTGCGGGCCGGCCACGTCAGCACAAACACGATCGCGACTCGGAGCAGCAAAGTTCGGTCGACGATCGTGTTCCGGGTCAGTGGCGGGCCACGATTCGAATCGGGTCGATAGAGTTTCTACTCTGAAAAGCCGAACCCATGCCGGCCTCTGATGCACAGAAAAAGAAGAGAACCCGTAGAATCCACTTTCCAGCCTACTTTTTAAAGACTTTTTAACCGAATAAGTATCATCTCCAGGTGAGTTTTCGATTGACACCTCAATTTTTAATATAAGTACATTTGTTTGGGAGGAGTTTCCCGGTATGCCGGAATCAGAAATTAGCCTCTTATGAATACATATGACCATATGTTGCGCGTTTTAATTTTCTTCCATTTAATGAACTGGCAAAAAAAAAGTAGGAAGCATTACTTTGATAGTGACCGTCATATGCTCTAAGGCCATGGTTCTCAAACTGCCTTTAACTCCCATAGAAAACCCGTGAGTTCGGTGGTCCGCGGACCACAGTTTGAGAACCACTGCCTAAGGAAGAGAAGGAGACAACACTTTAAGAGAAGAGGACAACAACTATTATATCTACTTCACAAGGGGCATGAACGAGAAATATGCCAAAATGTGCTAAATGTCAAACTTTTCACTGGAGTCAAACAATTTTTCACTTGACTTCAACACAAATGCATGATGAACATCCTATGCGCGTGTATCTGATTCAGGTGAACATTTGACTAATTCGAGTGAAAAATACTGGAGATGCGCAGTCTCCACAAGACTAGCTCAATTAGAAAAGTCTTCGGGTTCTGACCTCATGTCATTGAGGCGAATTATGAATCATATCATTTCCTGCAAGGCTGCTGCTTTGTGGTTTATCTCTGGAATGTGACACCAGTACAAATGAAGGCCAATATATACAGGGTGTCCCAAAAAGGGCCCTCTTTTCAACGTGCTTTTAAGTGTGATGCTTTCAAGGATATTTTTCCAGTTACATGTAATGGAAAGAATAAAGACTTAGCAACAAAATGCCTTTTTCAGACTTGAAATTCGTTAAGAAGCGACTTTAAAGAATAATATTGAGTTTTGGTTCGAAAATCGGCGTTGTGCACACCGACTGCACACAGCGGCAGGCACATCCAATCACCCTCGCGACGTCTGCTGAGGTCACCTTCCACTTTTCGTGAATATCATGACGTCGAATGGATGTTGGGTCGAGTTGAAGAGCGCAACGCCGAATTTTAGTTAACCGAAATTCAATGTACTTTCCTAAGTAACTCTTGAACGAATTTCAAGCCTGAAAGAAGCATTTTGCAGCCACTTCATTTTTCTTTCCATTTCATGTAAACGAAAAAATATCCTTGAAAGCATAGCACCTAAAATGCACGTTGAAAAGAGTTCCCTTTTTTAGGGACCACCTAGTAAATGGTAGTATATCATAACGAAGGTAGTGCTATATTTTTCATATATTTAATGAAGTCCCTATGCTGGCTTCCGAAGGCAACCCTGGGTCGTACTATCCTTAGTCTTCCATCGTTGCATGACTTGGTGCTGATTCACGCTATGGGGAAGTTGGCTAACGCACTTCTTCTTGCACGGTCGATCTAAATCTAAATGAAATCATCACCCAGAAGGCATCACCACATATCACTTGTCAGGGTCAGAGGGTATGCTTCATGGATATCATGTTTCGGCTTTCGACAATCATGTGACATTGTTGAAGCAATTCATCGCTGCAGGGAAACGGAGCTGCTCCCGCAATTACTGGTGTTCGAGACAAAGCTTTTGTTGCTGAAGAAACAGGAAGGCGAACACCTTGCCTCGTATTTGCACAGATTTCACATCGCATAGGAGAACGTTTTCCTTCTTTCCTCCCTTCCCTTGAGAAAAATCACCGGTTATCCCAGTCTCTCTCTGACTGAATTTCACAATGAAAAAGAGTTTCAGATATATATGATAGTCTTGGAGTAAAACCCAGGTTTCCGATCATCTTATCAATCTGGAAGCGGATTTTGCCTTGCGGTAATTGTGGCTAGGTACTTAGGTTGTCCCTTTCCTACTGTATTAAGACTGAACTTATTGCAGTCTTACCTCAAATGCACGGGTCCAGGTGAACATAGATATTTTGAAAATAATCATCCCCCGTACAAAACGTCCACCTTCATCCATCTGGCTGAACGACCAGGTGGATAAGAGGTGGATGTTCCTCCTGGGTGGATTGTCAACCAGATGGACATTGCTCCAACAGGTGGAGGTACGCCTAAGCGGACATTCACAAGGTGCCAAATCCACTTAGCGGGTGAACGTTTTGTAAAGGGCCTACTTCATATATTTTCTCCACTTTTCACTCCATATGCGTTTCCCACGCCATTTGCCGAGATGCTCCGATGCTCCTTTGTCGCGGTGGCCTTCAGCTGCGTATCGGCGTCAGGTCGACGTCCTTTTGGGCTGCATTTCAGTTTCGGAAAGGATAAGAAGTCAGGAGAGTAAACAGGATCAAGTGGCGCTTCGGCACCTATTGCAACTGTGGCGTCCTGAACTACTACTGCGAAGATTGGGTGAGCATTGTCGTAATGCAAGAGCCATGTCTCTTGAGGTAATTTAGGATGCTTTTCACACAGTGCGTGGCTCAGTTTCGTAGTTTGTGATAAACCATGATTGCCACATGCAACGCTTATTTCAAGTATTCAGTACATACATTTCAGCAATCCCAAGCATGTCATGTGAAAAAATTACTGATGCTATTTTTCTCCAGACATTTCCATGACAATAGATGTCACTTACAACCGTCAAAGACAAATGCTTCAAACGCTTACAATAATGAATTTGCTGTGACTGAAACTTCTTATTCGAATTGAAACAATAGGTTGCATCAGGTATCGTTATTAATTCGTGATATGGCCTGTAGGAGTGACGCGGTGTTGCCAGCATTAGCTGTCAAAGCACAACCCGAGAAATTCCTAGGGATGACTAATTTTTCCCTGGTTATATGATGGTCTTCCTAATAAAGCAACAAATAAAATAAAAGTACTACATTATATGAGAGGGATTTGTGAGTCTCACCATCTGGTCGGAGGGAAATATCAGAATCCATTGGACGAGAAGGTTGGCCGTGCCCTTGCAGGGGAACTTGCTGTGCCACCTCCATTCCCTCTCGAAAATTCACGTGCTGTGCAAGTAGCCATTTTGAACCCACCATTTATCATGCAGAAAAGGTAAGCAACCAAATATTATTTGACCAAGGATGGCTACTTGGAAATTGTTCCTCTGATTTCTATAAACGCAAGCATAATGTTACACACAGAGATATAAATATAGCTTCTGAGAATTCCAGCTAAAAAATGCATCACCAAACTTCTAGTCACCTGATTTTATGGAAAACTGGAAGCACAATGGAACATATTTTTATCTTTAAATTGCCAATTTGTCATTAATATAACACATTTTGGACGAGGAAATCCTTTTTGCCTTTTGTACAAATTAGTTACACACAAAAAATTATATATATAAGGACTAAGAAAGTAGTACTGTGTTATGTCCGCTTCCGCTTATGTTTTCCTTTTTGAATAAAAAGCATGTATGAATAAAATGAATCAGTAAATGCGCATTTTAGGGGATGCTTTCTTGCCATGGGTTACAGGTGTGCATGGTGTTTGTAATAGCACGCAGCAAACAGGGATGAATGACGACAGGGAATGAATGAATGAAACAGAAACATTGGCATCTGAATAAGTACCCTACTCGCCACTAATCATGCCTTCTAGAACGTTACACAGTGTACATAGACAAAAAAGAAAAGGCG